AAAAGGGACGGCGGGGGGGGGGGGGGTTGTCTCCCTCGCGTGAGTCGACGAAGTCATCGACAAGAACGATGTCTGCCGCAGTGGGTATCGCGAGATATCACACATACCCCGGGACTGATGTTCAAAGCTCGACTAACGCCGTAGGTGACACGAGATATCACACCCGCTGCACCGACTTCCAAAGCTCGATTGCCGCCGTGGGTGACGCAAGGTACCACACCCCTCGGGCCGATCTTCCAGAAAGCACGTCTACTCCACGGCGAAGAGGAGGCGTAAATGAAACGATGCGTTTTCGGAACGCTAGCTATCTCTCGACAAGACGGCTCCAACGCCGCCGTTTTCGGCGGCGCTGCCGCTCTTTCTGCTGTGGAGTAAACCGAGTTTTGAAAATTGGTCCAGAGCGTGAGATATAGTTATGTTAGCCACGGCAGGATTTCGTATACATCATCATGTGCAACCTATGCATACGGTAGTCTACACGTGCAGATGTGCCATCCATAGCGTAAAAACAAACCGGTGTGCTTTCGGGAAAGATCTCGACGAGGAGACGGCTACAACGCCGCCGTTCTCGCCGCCGTCGCTGTGTTAGCTGCGGAGTAATCGACAGTCAGCAGAAAAAAAAAAAAAAACTGTGAAAACGACACGAAAGAACGAAAAGTTAGATACCCACCTGCCCGACTATCTCGTCAGGCCACGCGTCCTGCAAGAGGTTGTGCGACTCGAGCGAAACCTTGATGGCGATGTTGGCCCACTTCAACGTGTCCCTGCCGCACAGCGAGAGCTGCGACAACGACGAGGAGGAAGAGGAGGAGAGGCGGCAAGAACACAACGACAGCACAAATGGTGAGACGAACAGTTGAGAAACAGCGCATTAGACACACTTAATCACGCACTCCCCCAATAATTGACACAGCACGTTGCGTCAGAGCAGGAAGCACCTTGGGGTTACAACAATCTCGCTTTCTTTTCCGTGGGACTTACAGCCGCCGTTCTGTCAAAAAGCTTTCTCCGACGGCGGATTGACCCATTTCTCTCTGAGGCTTCAGCCCAACGCCGCACACTTCCGTACGCCACGACCACGCCCACGCCCAGCACGCAAAACAAACGACTTCAACCCCATTCGACTGTGGTGATACAAGTATCTCGAACGGGTATGCATAGCCTCTCTGTGATTTGTATTTTTTTCAAAAAAATCATTTCCCCCCCCTCCCCCCTTCGCCACCTCGTCCCCCCTCCCCCTTGGCACAACCTACGTCACTACTTTCAATTTTGCGAGGACCCCTCCGAGAAAAGGGGGCCCCCGCGTTCACACACGGACCTTTCCCAGCACCGCCGCCGCCTTCTCCTTCAGCACCTCTTCCGACGCATCCAGGAGCGGCGCAACCACCTTCTGCACCCGAGTAGACTGTGGCGGTCGGAACAACGCTCGCAGGACCGTCAAGAACCTGCCAATGGGGGCCCAGGACAAAATTAAAGGAGGGAGGGCAGGCGGGGGGGGGGGGAGAAGGGGCTCAATACGCGGCGGCATGTGAAGCGATAAGCACAAAACGCAAGTGGATGGATCGGGAGGCTGAGCCACAGCGAAGATGCACGTGGGTGCGCGGGCAGCAGGGGTGCGCGAAAGCACAAAACCAAACAACAACAACAGCAACAACAACAAACAACACACACCAACAGCAACATGGAATGCTACGGCGACAGCAGCTTTCATGTGGGACTGATGAGTACGTGCCTGACAGCGAGGAAACAAGATTCTCGTCCAGCAACGATTGTCGGAGCTCAAGGATTCTGCTGAAGTCATCTACAGCAACCAGACATTCTATCGACCCTGCCTGCGCCCACAACGCTGAACGATTAGACTAACGTATCCCCAATAGACTAGTGGACCCCCAATACTGTAGTTCGTTTCTACGTTCGATGGCAGAACGGTAACTCAAGACAGCGAGTTAAAAACCCATTGTACAACGCAACCAACTTTACGATCCAGCAGGGGCCTACACGCATGGAGACCACGCAGCGTCAACACACCGACCAGAACCGGAAGCAGTTCAACATGTGGTTCGTCACCGCTGGTCACCCGTACATCCTCCCGAAATCGCTCTAGCAACTTCCAAGGGCGTATGAAGCAAAGGTATTCAGCAACACCACATTCGTTTTAGGGGGGAGGGTATCGAGGAGGTGCTGCTGTACTCCCCCGACAAGAAAGGGTGGACACCCTCGATACGAGAATAACGTTACAATATTAATACGTAGTATTTCTCTCATTGTATGTATACTCCGTATACAACTTCTAGATTAGAAAAAAAAAGGCCACACATGTACCGCAACAAAAACAAACAAGTCACAAGTAGAAAGAATACACCAGCGAGACCTGCAGAGTGAAGTGAAGAACAAACACCGACCGCTCCTTGCCTGTTCATCGTCTCCAAGACGGCCACCTTCAGCAAGTACTGGTGGTGCTGCTGGTAGTAGTGCAGCACGATGACCTCCCCCCCGAGACCCTTCCCAGCCGCGAGTCCCCCTGCAGCCCCTTCACCCCCGTCCCCAAACTCTTCCCCTCTTCCCTGTCCGCCGGCCCCCCCGAGGGAGGAGTTGTTCCCGAGGGAGGCGTTTTCGTCTCTAGGGGACGACGAGCTGCTGCTCCCTTCCGGGCTCTTGAGGCAGTCCAGCATCAGAGGTATCAAGTGGGCCAGCAGTTCCTTGAAAGCCCTTCTTCGAATCTGTCGCCACCACCAAATTTGCATCGCCACGCGTAAGGATGGAGGGTTGGGGCAGAGGGGGGGTAGGTGTGTGTGTGGGGGGGAGAGTCTCTGACCCATGTACCTCGGCTACTGGCGTCTGCAAGAAAAAAAAAGAAAAAAAAAGTGTCCTGCTGGCCGCGTGTCGGACGCAGCCAGCAGCGTACAACTGTGCAGCTTCATTTACCTTTCCTTGTTATACTTTATTGGGAGAGACAACGATAGGAGTAGCAGCAGCAGTAGCAGCAGCAGCAGCAGCAGACACAACGACTGCCCAGGGCGGGACCAACAACCACCACCACCACCACCACCTCCCACGGGCCAAGACAACAAGCTCACCTTCGAGGAGCGCTTGTCCTATTAGGAGCAGTAGCACCAGACACATACGACGACTATCAACAAACGACCAACAATAGCAACGGCAACGACGATCACAACCTCAACCTCGAGGACTGCTTGTCCTCGGAGCAGCAGCAGCAGCAGCACCACAAACAAGGACGACAACAACGACAAACTGACCTTGGAGGACCGTTTGTCCTTGGAGCGCTCGCTGAGCACGTTCTGCACGAAGGTCTGCGCCACGTCTAAGGCCAGCGCCCTCGTCGTCGGCGGCTCCGACGGCTTAAGGTGGAACAGGATAGCTTCGCCGATGTTGCCGAAGCTCGCCTCCGTTTCTTCGGCCTGTTGCCAACAGAAGGGGTTTCCACGTTAAGGAAGATTTTACCCCCAAGTTGAGATACAAAAAACGTACAGGGGGGGTGGGGATATGGGGGGGGGGGTCGTTAATGGGGCGGTCTGTAGGGGTGAATCGAAGAGTTGCTTCGTGTTTATGGAAGGCTGTTCCCAAGTTTCGACACAAACCTGTCTGTCACGGTGGAACGAAGCGCTTCTTTTAAGTTCGTGTAAGGCTGTTCCCACGTTCGACACGGCTAACGTTCACGGATGGACACGGGAAGGGGGGGGGAGTATTCATACTCGTGCATGCCAGTCGTTAGACCATTGACCTCGCATCCCTACAAAGCCGGGACGGAGCACGCCGGGTTCTCACCGGACCAGGCTCTTACATCACCAAGCGCGGGAAGGGGAAAGCCGTTAACGGGACTGTCTATTGGTCGGGGTGAAATGAAGGGGTTCACCTCACTGAACGAGCGAACATCGTCGGGGGATATCGCTAGCGACATAAACAGAAGTGTTGGTGTCGAGCTGTCCATGATGGTATCATTACCGGCAAAGGTTGGTTGTTTCTTGGTTGTTCCGGTCTGAAAAAAGAAAAACATGGCTGCTGTGATCTATCTCCCCGCCCAGCACATCGCCTATTGCTCCGAGTCTTCCCAACCGGTCATGACAAGATCACAGTTTTTGTCCGTATGTCGTAAAGGGATCAACGCAAGTAAGGACACACAATTTACACAATACGAACGTCGCTATGTGGGTGGCGAACAGGTGTCGAGGGACCGGGGGGAGACGGGGGGCGTATGCTTGACGGCGACTACCACTTCCAACCGAGCCGGGAATGTGCTGCAAAAAAATTGTCACGGATGCTCCGCATCTAACCGCGACAAGAAGGCTACAGAGCAAACGAAACACGACACTTACTATCTCCATAGAAAAAAGAGCTGCGAAGGTCGGGAATGTCAAAGAAAAACATCATCATCACCATCAGTGACAACAAAAGCATCCACATAGCAAGCACATCACGAGTGTCCCAATCAACCAAAAGAGACGAGGAGAAGGTCATCGTGCCAACCAAAGAGATCACCATCATCAGCACAACAACAACAACAACAACAACAACAACAACAACAGCATCCACCGACGTCTGCCTCACCGTGCTATCCTCCAGCTTGGCCATGAGCTCGTGCAGCTTCATCTGTCTCCAGGGGTTCACCCTCCCTCGCTCCCCGCCCCCCC